TGATGACCTCAGACTGATCCCTGAGGAATTCCACTACTTGCAGCTTTCCAACCTGAAAATAAATTATTATCTCTAGTCTGTATTTCCTGTTAGTTAACCAGGGTTCCCAGTGGAGCAGCCTAGAAAGGTTGCAGGTCCTGTACTGTGATGTGTAGCTGGTTGTCCAGATGTATCTGAGCTCAGCAACACACCATTAGGGCCATTTGTTGTCAGATCATCAGGTAGAAGTTGTACTGCAAAATATTAAAGAGAAAGAAATATTCTTATCTCAATCTTAATTAGGAGACCTCTTAAGCTGAGTTAACCTCACAGCAAGTCACCTCCTCTTTACAGAGCATAATGAACAGGAATAGATGTAGACCATCCAGCCCCTCAAACCTGTCCCATTATCCGATTGACTTGGTTCAGTGAAGTATTTATCAATCTCAGCCACCACTGCTCTCTTGGGAAAATATTCCCAATATGTTAAGACCAGAGGCCATAAGAAAATGGAGCAGAAATAGTCATTTGGACCATCAAGTCTGCTCTGCTGTTCGATCATGCTTGACATGTTTATCAAAACAATTCTTTTGCCTTCTCACTGTAGCCCTTGATCTGCTTATAAATCAAAACTCATCTTTCTGTCTTAAAGACACGACTGTGTCTGTGTCTCTATATGCTTGTGCATGCGTGTGTGTGTGTGTTTGTGTATTTCTGCTTAATGGCAGGAGACAGGGTGGCCATGAAAGATTATTCTTAAGATTGGAAGTCTGTGACCAGTGGTGATCCACAGGAATCGGTGCTGGATTTACTTCTGTTTGTCATTTAAATAAATGATTTAGGTGAAAATGATAGAAGGTATGATTAACAAGTTTACAGATGACACCGCGATTGTTTAAACTGTAGACAGGGAAGAAGGTTATCGAAGATTACAAAGAGATCTTGATCAGTTCGATGAATGAATCATAAAGATGTACAGTGTGGAAACAAATCCTTTGGTCCAACAGGTCCATGCTGACCAGGTATCCTAAATGAATCAATTCATATACCCATCCAGATACCTTTAAAATGTTGTTTTCACCACATCTGGCAGTTCATTCCATATGTTTTTAAATCATTCCCCTCACCTTAAACCTGTGCCTTCTAATTTTGGACTACCTTACCTTGGGAAAAATAAATTGAGTATTCACCCTATCCATGCCCTTCATGATTTTATAAACATCTATAAAGTCCAAACTTTACTCCAATCAACACGAATGGCTGTGCTTTCTGTCATGCCGGGCCTAAGTTCTGAAATTCAATGCTGATACTTCTTCATTCTCGATCAAGTCACAATTCTAGAATAATTTTAATCAACTAGTTCAGACATATTATGAAACACCTCTGTGGAATTTGAAATATAGATCTTTGGGCCCAGAGATAGGGACACTAACAGTACACTGCAAGAGACCCTGAATCTGCAACATTATTTACCTCTGCATTTGCTCATCAGCCTGTTCTGACATGCTGTAACACACCTCTGCAGCTGACAGGACTTGAATCCAGAAGACACTCTCCACTATGAAGGATCTCTAATGGTTATTATTATTGAACACCAGAGACAACGAAAGACCAAAATTTCTGGACCCAAAAGACTGTATCGCAAATCAGTATTTCTCACCTCTAACGTGTGACTGCCCTCTTCTTAAAACCATTAAATGTTACAAGGCAACAAATTATATTCCAGTGTCTCCTCACCATTGGCTGGTCTGCAATCCACCCCACCCTCCACCTCCTGCCCACACGAGGCAAACCATGCTCAGGATCTTTGGGAAAATCAAGGCAGGATTTTGGAGGCTTCTGGAGATGGGAGGGTCTTTCAAAACATGACAGGGTGGTGTCGGGG